GCCTTTGGAACCCTTTGAAAAATATTAGTATATAGGGTCCTATATGAAACCAACTAGGGAAAATACTTAAACCCTACACCCTAAACCTTAAACCCTAAACCCTAAACCCTATCCCCAAGGCCAACCTTAAACCAAATTCCTCAAGCCCGCAACCCCCCCCGAAACAAGCGCCTTTGCATCCGGGCCTTGCTCCGGCGATAAGATCTCCCCTGGTTTGGATTGTACCAACAGCCTTTCCAACTCCAGGGGTTGAGGGGGTTTAGGGTTTAGGGTTTAGGATTTAGGGTTTAGGATTTAGGGTTTAGGGTTTAGGATTTAGGGTTTAGGTCTGGTTCCTTTTATTTGGGATTTAGGCCCGGTTCAGGGTTATACAGCTGCACTTGTGCTATAGGGATATATGGGGGGGCAGGGTTCAGGCTTTCTAATATTAGGGGAACCTTTAAAGGGCGGATATGGGGGTTCTATAGGGGAAAAAAGATATATATACGGCTTAGGGGTTTCCAAAAATTGGGGCATCTTTTTTGGGGGTCCCAATAAGAAGGACTTGGCAGTTGGCAGTTTCCCAAAATAGGGACCCCAATATAAACATGGACCCCAAAGTGCTATAGTTATGGGGACCCCCCAAAACGGGTACTCCTAATCTTGGGAAACCCTCACATGGAAATACAGAAGGAAGGGTGAAGGCGCAGGGTTTCGGGTGTAGCATTCAGTGTTTGGGATTACGCTTCGGGGCCTACGGGTGGGGTTGGCCAGTTCGGGCCTAGTATTCTGAGAAAATCAAAAACCTTCCCTCAAATGAACATGACTGTGATGAAAGGGGGAGCAGGTGGCACAAGGATGAGGTGTGCGGTGTGACAGCGGCGCTCACAGTGGTCTTGGCACCAATAGGTTTCCGGGTGTCCATTTTCAGTCAAAGTGGATCCTACAATATTCCAAGCACGCTCAAACGAGGCCTTGCCATGTCTGTAGAGGGACCCATCTGAGCTATAGTCTAAACTCCTAGTATCCCCCTTAGTAACCCCCATTATACTCCCCTATATAATCCCCTAGATAACCCCCGTTAAGGAGTTTAGACTACAGCACATCTGGAGTTCCAAGTGTCTTAGCCCTTCCCTCAGCCTCTGTCCATCCAAATGCTCGATGGCCAGCTCGCAGCCAAGGAGAGCCTTAAGTGCACGGAATCGTGCAGTGATGCTGCTTCCTTGCTAGACTCTCGGTCATTACTTGATGAGGAAAGCCCTGCCCACTGCTGTGTCAAAGGTCTCGGGCCCTGAGAGCTCTTGAAAAGACTCTGCTATCCCAAACGGTCTAGGAGTCAAAGAGGCTAACGTTCAGAGATGCTGTGAACTCCTGGTATGGACAATTTGAGCAGGGGAATGCCTTATGCGGCCTTACGAGGATCCATCAAGCCACAAGACACTTTCAAACAAAGGCCTTAGCATGATCTACCGCAACATTGAGAACAATCTGCAGCAACAGAGCATTTATCTTGCCATAACTATAACCCCAATATAACCCTATA